CACAGCAGATATCCAATTACATATCCTCCATGCAATTATGCTGAAATCCATAGCATTCAGTGTATTTATTTGTACACGATAAACCCAATGCAGTGTGATTTAGACGATTACATTGTATTCAGTATTAATGAAATGAGTACAATAAAATAAATGTTCTCGTTATCACGTTTTGTGGTTTTGTCGTGTGATTTACATTAAAATGAAGCCAATCAACACCATGCAACAAAGAGCCAACTTACTAGTCACTCACGTTTATTCTGCACGCTATTTTTATTTTGCTTAGCTAAATGTTTGATGGCATCCGACTATAGAAAATCCGCGATGGTCAACAAGTATGTTGAATAATGTGCATATATATTTTAAATATCAATTAACAGTGAATAATTTTAAAGTTAAGTTCTTTTGACGAATCAAACTGGTTAAGTTATTGACGGAGAGATTCATAAACGAGTTAAATATTAACCACTGCGATGCCTTAACTGAACGCAATATAAATCCACTGAGATACGGAATAATTACAAAGCGTACGCGCCACGTGTGGAACTGATGGAAAGAAGATACCTTGTCAATTAAACAAAATAAAAATTACAGCGGTGCACAACATTTCCAGCGGACCCACTAGAATTCCACACTGATTGCAGGGCAAAAACACCCCTCATTTTGGGCAAAATCTGAAAATACATCCCCTGAAGTTGTTATTGTTCGGGATTTGAGGAATGATGCAATGTCAAACACACTAGTTGTTTGAAAGAAATCTAAAGCCTGGGGCCTGGGATATATGTAAGCGTTTGAACATTGGAACTATCCATCATAATGCATTTTATTCTTTGTCCGTCATCCAAGCAACAAACGTTTACATGCAAATTGACATTGCTGTATATTTTTCTTTTGATTCTCAGTGCAGTGGGGTTTTTTCTGGTAGTTTCCGTGTAATTGTTTTGTTTTCATTTGATTTTCAATTGTGTATGTGTGCAGAGTATGCAGATATTTTGTTTTATACGGGTGCAACACACAAACTTAACTATTCGGTATACGAGTATATGCTACTAAACACGTGACGGATGTTGTTTTTATTTTACTGATAACTTTGTATGAGACGTCGGAGTAAATGTTATACATTTTAAATTAGTATGATAATGACTACAACGGGCGTACTGCACACTATATATCATTTCCAGAATTGTTCTAGTAATTTCGATTTGGAACGTTCATTTTTATTTAGCGTGTTTTCTGGGTCGTTGTCCGTCGCCTGGAACTTTTGTCTGGTCGCAGCTTCACGCTGTGTTGTTTATTTTGTTTTATTTATTCTTGAATACGTTCTCTATAATCTCAGAAAATGCAAAACATCAAGTAGTATGGTTAGTTGTTTCTTTGTCCGTGAAAGCATTTATAATAAAATAGCGTAATTGAAACGAATACAAAGACACACAACCAACAAGTTTATCACATTTGGACTTCTTTCAATATTATTATTCCCCTAATATACTATACCTGTAAATACAAAAACATATATAACCGTTGTTTAGTCTACCGTAACGGAATTTCGCCGAAGAACATTTTATCGAATGGCCATGGTATGGTTATTTAATTGTCCAACTATCACGCAGTGTGGTACACATTAATAAATTTCAACGATTGCTCAAAACTGCCTCTGATGTAGAAGAAATGATTGTCGATAATCTCATTTAAAGAATCGCAACTTTATAGCAGGTCATTGACAATATCTGATTCCCTATAAAATACGTAGAAAACATGTTTGGCTGGTGTTTGTAAACATCTCTTACTCTTCCCCATATAATAGTGTAAATTCATATTATTGTTACACTATATATATATCACTATATATATATATCGATTTTATTAGTTAAAATGAATTCGAAGGTTTGAATTTGAACAAGTTTTGAACAAGTGTATCGCATGCAGGAGGGGCGGGGCCAATACTTACAACCATTCTCCAATGAGAGTCTGGAAGAATGTGCGTCAAATTGGATTGTATTGTTTGTTAATTAATGGAACTATGGACGAGTGAAATGACTCTAGAAAAACGGTTTTCTCCTTAAAACAAGAAACTACTAATTGTAAGTTACAGATTTTTTTTAAATTTTAATTAATAATATAAATAGCAACGTCTCTTTAATTCCTACTATAATATAAGGTACGGAGATTGATAAGATCACCCCCAACTTTTCAGCACTCACATTTTCGACGTAATTAAGTGTTTAATAGGTATGGTCGTGACCCGGTGAAAAGCTGACTTTTCACGCCTTTAGAACTTCAAAAACAAATTCTTTTACGAAACCGGCAATATTACACGCAATGTTTCCTTTAATTCCTATCACATTTGTTTGTGTTTGGATACTTGGATAATGATATATTCAACTTTCGAGTAAAGGAATTTTTGGACGGATTGGTCTTTCGATGAAATGTCGCACATCGTCAATTTTCAACACTCACGTGTCCGAGTCAATATCACGTTTGGCGGTAATTCATTATTCAGCAAGTGATGTGGATCCTGTATTATGCTTCCTTTTCTGAAAGCTATATCTTATATGGTCCCGATTCGGATTAGAACCAATTTATAGCTGTCAGGAGAAAATGTTTCCCACACATGCTGTTAGTATCAACAAACAGTTACCACAGGGACGAAGGTGCGACCGCACAATTCTTCGTGTGTTTGTAATTAATTCACGTGGTTAATTAGCCAAATTTAAAGCGGAAGGGTCGTCACCTGCACACACACGGGATTTGAGTCTCAAGCGACGATAACAACACACGCTAAAAACGCAAAGGCTCATGGGTAGACGCGTGTTTGTAAAAAATTACATGCTATGGCAATCTGACGCATGCGCAGGTGACGACTCCCCCGCTTTAAGCGGCACTTCCAAACTATAATGACGAGTATTAAAAGACCTGCGATACGGTAACCAGTCTACGTACGCAGACATTTCATACTCGAAGTCCATGGAAAAGTGGATTCCATGGAAATCGAATTCGGTTAAAAACTTTCAAATTTAGTAACTCGAATTTTATTTTAACTGTTTACCGAACTTTGAGTTCCGGGAAACACAAAACGTTGAACAAAACAACAAATGTATGCTCGGTTAATTGGTAATGAAAGTTCGAGTTACTAAATGTGGACGTTCAACAGAAACAAAAATATATAAAATATGCTCGCGTCTCGCGTTTCGCTCTAGAATTACTTTACGAAAACGCAGGAAGCAGGTAAATGCGAGTGCATTAGGGTAAACGTGAGTCAATAAACTACCAGCAAGGTATTCCGTGGCACGCATTCTAGCGGCGTAATCCCCAACTCACACCAACAACAGCAAGCGTTGCTAATTTGTTCTATATTCTGATCGTGAAATAAAGAACACAACCGCTGAATATTTCTTACTTACGTTCATGCAGCGTCCATTCAATAACACATTCTTGTATATGACGCCCGCTAGCGACGGCGTGCGTCTGATGTCAGACTGACGAAATGAGAGTATGCATTGTGTCCTTCAAAACGACGGGTATCTTCAGTGGTGTGATCGTTTGTTATTTAGAATATATTAAATACTGTACTTTAAAATGATTCATAATTATGATATAACATGTATGCAATAAAACAAAATATACATATATGATTAAAAAATTGTCGACAGTTTATTGAAACTATTTTTTACAAACGCTTACAAAACATAGAGGTAGATTATATGTTTATAATAATTATAAGAATTTATTGATGATTCGAAGAAAGAAAACGCAATAGCTAACGCGATACGTCGATGAAAGATTTAATTCGAGTGTCCACTAACATAATCTTTATAATGGTTGAGGTACGTTTGAAGAGAACTTGTTGTTGTAATTGCCAGGTGGGCTATATTCACAGGCAAGCCAAACTCTTGTGCCATCGTCGACAGCGCCACAGCCAAGCGTCTTGCTATCTGCCCACACAACCTGGGTGAAGTGACCTACGAGAGAAAACGACAGTTTAGTTTCTATTATTTTTATCGCTATGAAATGAAATACTGCCCGCTACCGTTGTTTTTTAATCAGTTCGCTCCAAACATTGTTTGTAACAACATCATTCATTGCTTGTAGATTTGACTACTAGCAGCAGAGTGATAATAACTTACCGGTAGATGAAAAGAAGCCGGGATTATTGTAATTGTAAAAGTCTATTTCGTCGTACCACATCTTGACGAATCCATAACCTGAACAAAATAAATTGGTCTATAATTGTAAAATAAAGCAATATATATAGTTCATGATACAATTAGAACAATCTACGGATTTTATACGCACATTTGCAAATTTTGAAGCTTCATTGAAATTGAAGTTACTTTGTATAGAGAAACAACCCAGGCTTGGGGTCGATCTAGATTAAGCGGACGATGAACACCAGGAAACGATTTGGGATATGTCGTCGGTCGATCACGTCACTTGAGAGAACTACTCGCGATTGAACTATCCAAAAGTCGCGCATAGTGTGTTTTAAAGCAAATAATTGATTGTAAAAATTGACTGAAAAATTGAACAAATAATAGTAAGCATAACATTGTTACTAAACATGGTTCTACTAAATCTTGTAAGTTAATGTCGTAAATAAGCCGACATTCCTACCTGTTGCGTAACTCATATCTTCCAGTCCAGACATAGCGAGATTTTCACCATATCCGTAACTGCTGTGTTTAAGCATTCCTCTGTCTGCGTTGTCCTGTGCCACGAGTTGACCCGTCTGTGCCAGTGAGCTGTCCCAGGTGAGCGGCTCCACTCCGTGCAAGCAACGGAAATAGTTGTGCGCTTCGAGCAGTTGGTCTTCGAAATATTTGGTTCCACTGTTACCCATTTGCTTTGGTACCGTACAACCATTGCTGTCAGTTTCACCGTATCCTGTGAAAGTAATTGGGGTTATAGTTAGAATGTCATCACTCAGAAGATGCACGTTCTTTGGGACCACATATAGTGATCGACCAATCTAAAAGCAGTTGTGCATGGTATTCAATGTTTACACTTAACCGCCAAAATTATGTATATATATATGCCTAGGGCAATATTGTCTGTGAAGTAGATTGTATAAGCAGGAGACCCCTCCCAATAGCTCGGTGTTTTATTACAATAATAACGTGACACGAGTCGCTTACTGTAGTCACTGCACAGAATATGAGCAGCAGTACAAATACCTGTAACGTGAACGAAGACTTACCACATTCAACTTCGTCACTGTAATCCAGACAGTAGATGAGACCATCGCAAAGTTGACTTTCTTTCAAACACATACTTTTATCTGCACATATATATGGATTGTTCGGGTACCATTTGCCGCAACCGTTTGGGTCGTAATAAGCCTCTGGTTCTACAAGTGAAGTGCGGAATTGTGAAATTATAAACGGTATGTAAAAAAACGAGGTAGACAATATAATGCCTTGTCTATAGTAACGTGTCTGTGTTGATGTTTTGATTCGTTATGTTTTTGGTAGAACTGGCTTGTTGTTGTTGTGTTTTTGTTTCGCTTTTTAGCATGATAACAAAAACGTTATGGATCGATTCTCATAAAAGTCCTAGGAGGAGTTGCCCTTGATACACCACGAACCCATTAAATGATGTTGATAGAGATATGCGTAATGTTAATGAAAACAGCAATTTTGGTAATGACTTTTTCCTTATAACTCAAAAGGTTATGGGAGAATTCTCATAACAATGTCAAAAGGACTTGCTCTCAACGCGAACCAATCAATTTGGGTCAAGATTCAGATTTGGTTGCCATGAAAAAAAAGAATTTCCGGAAATATTTTATTGGTAACAAACATAATTAATGATGCATTAAATTTTGAAGTAAATATGATATAAGTATAATATCAAATGCTGGTTGTATGTTGTCATGGTAAAGGAATCCAACAATGTAGATAAAATGGGGCATATATTTTAGGTGTTATATATAGAGAAATGAGCTGCTAGGCGAAGGTCTACAATTTCTGGGTGCTTTCTGGTTTGTTGGTGAAATACTTTGAATTGTGTTAGGGACGCAACTGTGGAACTGCGGTCAACTTTCTTTTTGTCTATTTGTAAATTAATTTTGCTAGATTGTGAATATGCCAGCATAGAAGAGATTTTGCCTTTTTTGTCTTCCTTCTGTTTTTGTCCTGTCATTATTTGTATTCTCTCCATTCAGACCGTATTTTCAGCGTTGTTCCCTTACCTAGAACACTGATGCTACCACCGTTGCCGCCATTGCTTCCGCTATTACAACCAACCTCATCGCTGCCGTCACTACAAAGTGTGTGTCCGTCACACAGACTAGACTCTCCTATGCAAAAACTGCCGTCACTACATTTATACGTGTAGTCTGAATACCAACTTGCACAATTGGCGTCGTACGAAGCAGCTTCTACAGTATTCCCTAGTGACATGAAATACAGGGATTATTATACACATATCTTTTCGTCATCACCCCCATCACTAACAACTTATCAACCTATACGTGAAATCTCAAAGAACGTCGTACCTTCTTTAATTTGTAAATTTATTTCGACCAGAGCGTTCCGGCAAGTGTTCCAAAACGATTTACTGGTATCATCGTCCAGCGTTCTAAATGTACACTGAACATTCTACGATTTGACATTGTCCCGTAGTTGGGTTTTGATGACAGTATTGCGTACCACTGTTCACTGATTTTTTTTATTCGAATACATTTTTTTGTTTCTATAACGTAGTTTTTGCGTAATGTATTTTGACTGAATATGCACTGAGTACATACCTGTTGACTTTAAACCATGACGTATCAACCCCAGTGCTTTCAAGATCATGTTTTTTCGTGAAACATTTTCACCGGCCAAACCAGAACGAATCTGTAATAATACACACAGTTCCAAATTGTATTGAATGAAACATTATTATATGTTTATTAATATCATTATTTTAAATTAATATGTCATCTTGTCGGGACATGAGCATTTTATTACGTGGTATTGTATTCGCCTACTGGACCAGTTACGTCACATAATTAAATGCCTTGACGCCAGAAGGCGCGACTTTGCGGTACGGTGTATCAGACGCAAGTCTTAGCAATTACGTAACACCAATAATAAAAATACTTCTTCGTAATAATAGTGAAATGTACAGTTTTCTCAAGACGTATGACTTTTAGGCGAACACTTTGTTATAACCATAAAAAATAGTGACGTGTTCAAGGAGTATTTTTAAAACCATTCAAAGAAGAGCTTACGTTTACTCAATATTGTTTATGTCATGTTTATTCGACTTCATATTTTATATAACTTTTACTAATGTGAAGACAGCGTACGGTTCGATTTCTGTATACTATTTTCGTGCAATTCATACATACATATATATGTTTATATGTGGAAATAAACTCATTATTTGACAATTCAAGGTTATAAATAAAAATATTGTTTTATTGGCGCAAATTACGATATAACAAAATTTATAGGTATTTCAATTGGGTATTTGGGAGGTGTGTCAGTCATTCGTGAATAGTACGCGAATCGTACGTGAATCGAACTGTACACTGCCTCCATTCTCTACCTTCAATACCAGGCAACAGTTGACGCAGGGAGGCGCGTGCCCCTTGTTATGCGGGGTTGCTGTCTCTATACTTTTGTAATTGTTGCTGAAGAATGCACGCAAGAGGTTCCTCAATTTCCGAACACAACTAGATCGGTTTTATTACTCACCAACCCTCCATTTCTAGGTCGGGTTGCAATCCTAATTACATGCTTCACATTTTACTGAAAATACAATTATTATGGGGACGTCGTCAACCAATGTTTAAAGTCCACTGATATGATCACGTGATTGCCAGGTCTCAAGACTCATGGAAGGGTTTTGTACTCTCGTGATACTTATTGCAGACGATACATTTATAAACATAAAATATGTATTTACGATATATATATATAAAATATATCATTATAATGCGGCATAATGACCACCCAAACATGCTTGCTGTTGGCAATGAGTGACTTCATAACACTGGAGTAACAAATGTGCATACGTGCTTACCGTGTTTTTTCTACAAACAATAAACAATGTGGTGACATTTTATTCAGCAATCAGAATTCGACAACGCCTTCTCCCAATGCATTCATGTTTGTCCCGAGGGTGTCTTTAACTTCAATATCCAATAAAAGGTAATAAAATGGATTTATTGTGTTTCCCTCAACACAGCTAACAACGAATTGACCGTGTGTTTGCACGTTGGTAGCCTGGGATCCAACCGTTCAAGGTGCCCTTCCCAGTGTACTCAAGATTGGTTAGGCAAGTCGCTACGTAAACGCATAGATGGCACAGATTTCTGTGTCATCACTGATTGGCTGTTTCCATGACGTCAGTACATTACCATGAGAACTCGCATGTGCAGAAGGACCCGTATGTAAGACTCGCCCACATTCTTGCAGACCGATTCACTAGTCTGTTAGATTTTTCAAAGTCGGCATCTTGTCTAGTCAGTGTCACTTTGGGAGTAACAGGGAAAAACAGTTATTTGACTGTTCAAATTGACTGATATTATTCACGACAGAATAAATTTAGACAAAGAAACTTGACTTTAAATGCATTTGAAGGCCAAAACCAACAAAATACTTTTGCATGCGCCAGTGAGTAGAAATTGTGGTTAATTTGAAATCTGGGGCTTGTCAACTGATTCCCTAGTGCGAGCGCGAAGTGCGATAAGGAAGGACACTCCTTAGACGCGATGACGTCACAGATACATATTATCTTAATTTTAGGCAGTGGTACACAGCTTAACTGTGAAAAAAGCTCACAAAAACTGAATAACTTATATTATCGACACATTTAAACCAAAACCACGACCAAATTACGCAAATATTAACCATTTTCTGGATTGGAATACGTATGAATGGTTACCTCACAACCATCCGTCCCAGCCTAAGATTGTGAACGACACCTTAACACTCCGGCAAAATTTAATGACTTTTCTACAAGATTCCCTGGAAACTATTCTCTTTATTTTACATGTATAAAATCCGGCAATGTGGCCTTTTATTTTGACTTTTTTTATTTATTTACATTTAATACATCTCTGCCAAAATTATTACAACACGGCGTAACGAAATATTATTAAGTATTACGTGGTCACTTATTGTGTACATACGCATATGGAAAATCGCTTGGCTTGTAGAGGTACCTCATTGTATCTTTAGTTAAAGCGCGGTGGTTGTCGCAAGTAAATCACAAGTATGAGGCTTGAACTGGGCGCGACTTGCACTGAATACCGCCGGTGACTCCTTCGATAGCTTCCAATCAAAAATTACCTAATTAAAACTTGGAAACGTCTCAGTTTGTACTCGTTGATCTGGCAATAGTAAAAGTCGCCATCTTTATATGAGACCCATTTATCTCGCGCATGCGTGACGCGACGACTACCGCCTTTTAAAACACTTAGGTAGAACACGTATCAACTGCATCCTTTTGTGGGTATGATGAAGCTTTTGACAAAAAGGCACAGTACTATAATTATATTGGCAAATCTCTTAGCAAGCCACGTGACTTGAATTAAATGAATTGATTGGATGCTGTTTTAAACGAGGGCGTCACAATTGTGGTATCATGGCTTGACTGTTGTGGATTGAAGTGCTACTACTAAAACATGAACGATGGTTATGGGAAAAGTCGTCCATAATAACAATACGGGCGATAGTTCTTTTGTAAAAACCATTATGACATTGTTATCCTACCTTTTATAGTTCAACCCTGAACCATGTCGAACCACAAAGCGGCGTTTTTTTTAAATTAAAGGGAAAATTACTTCTGTCAGCTCACATTTTACAAAATACAAAAAAGCAACACGTTGACAAATCGTAATAAATCACGAGGTTTAACCTGGTAAGCCACGTGATTTGAATTAGATGAATTGATTGGATGTTTAAACGAGGACTCAATGTACAATGCAAGATTTGTTGTGTGAATATAGGCGTGCTATTGACACTGATTATGGGAAATGTCGCATATAATAACAATACTCAAGGTCGTTCTTAAAGTGTCATCTCTGTCAAACTTTGACAAAAACGTTGACAAATTACAATCCTCATACGCAATTTCCAGAGATAATAGCGATGCTTTGAACACGTTCTGCCAGAAACAGCAATTGCTCATGTTTGAACCCAAATCATATGCGTATTACCTTGACAATAATCAGATTCTCACACAGAGCCAGCGTAACAGGTCGATCAATCGTCGCCAGAAGGAGACCAACGCTTTTTCTAATTTTGCACTATGATTGGTTGACGTACTATGTGATTGTACCTTACATGGATCAGACTTGCAACTTTTACCGACCCTCAGTCATTGAAACATTAATTACGAATTAGAAGAGACCTTGTACAGCCGATTTACCTAACATGTAATCCACAGAAAAAACTCGAAACAGTAATTAGTAATTCACTTCTCTTCATTTTAACGATAATGTCGAGGGCTCGTATTTTCACCACCACGGTTTTATTCTGTTTTTAATTAAGCTTAGGCACCTAACAACAACGGTTAACTGTCGCCATGGCTACTATAGCCAGACCTATATAGAAAAAGCCGTCCACACTCTGTATTTAACCCAAGCCGTAACAACAGAACATGCCCCACGAGTCCCGCCCAAACCGTCGATTATAATGGTGAAGTGTATTATTATTGTGTTGGTTACTGTTTTGTTAGTTCTTATATCAAAAATATTTATCAATAGAATTTTAAATATTTTTACCCAGACTCTATATAAAATTACACAAAAATCACACTGTGGGTTTTGCATGTAAATTTATCCTTTGTTCACGTAGAGATAGCGACAAGAAACGAATTTTCGCTGTGACATTCAGACCTGGATTTTCTCACCCTGCCTTGTATGTTTCCATAAGAGACTCAGCCCTTTTACATGGATGGTGTTTTAACATGCACTGACATTGGGATTACCATTCATAGCCAAACAATATTATGGGAAACACGCAACTTTGCCAAGATATCCCAAATGGCAAACATGTGTGTCGCGTTTTGAATGTATGTGATTCCGAGTTCATGGAAATTATTTTGATGAGCGTCCAAGTCTTCTTTACCCAAACCTCGTATAAATATATATGAAAAAGGTACATTATGAGAACGAAAATGTCATGTTTGTATTTAGTTTTTTTCATTAAAAAAGGTTGTGTATTTTATTGGTACGGGTTTAATATTTAACCAACTTGACTAATGTATTGTTTAAACGCCGCTTTCGCATCGTGCGAAAAATTCAGATTCACGACTAGCAGAACCAGCCGGTCGGTGCGTAATTATATAAAAATAGGACACTAGTTTTGGTTGGCAACGTTTCTGCCAGTGAGGTGGTTAATTATTTTGAGTGTCGATCGGGCCGTGTGTTGAGCGAATTAAACCACGAATTGGAACCGAGAGATGTAGCTATGGCAATCTCTGCCAGCCATACAACTCATCGTTACTTACCGGTATAAAACTTGACTTCCTCGGCACGTAAGTCGCCGAGCACACAACTATGACTGTAAAGACGATGACAAGGCGCATTTTGATGGATAGCCGTTTCCTCCAGGCTCCTTTTCTGAATGTGGTGTCTGAATGGACTTAACGGTATATATACCAATCTAGGTGTCCCCGGGGTCTGCACAAATGTTTTCATTCGGTTACTGCCCTGTGGGAAAATGTTGTAAATTTGTCAAGGGGCATTTAAGGCCTGGTGGATCAGTACGTTTCGTAATTTTTAACGACTGTAACCATAGAAACTCATTATTATCCGATTAAAACTTTGTAGCACTATTATGAAAGAGTCCTTAAAATTGGTCTTCACCACACGTGCTTCACTATTTTTCTTTACACTCAGACTCGAAACACTTCACAGTAATCCAAAATTCCAAATTACAGACTGCCGACATTTCAACATGCAGACTATTCAAGACTGCTCTGTCATCGTCACTTTATGCGTCTGTCATTTTTGGCAAATATTTTAGTAACCAGTCTGCTACCTTTCTGTCTTAAAATCCAACTACTTGTGACTGCACTGCCTGTTTCTTCTACTATGACCCTGTCAGGCTCAGTTGAAGAATATGCCAGACATTGAAACAAACAACGGAGTATAACTTGATATTTTATGTGAGTGGGTGAAGACTGCACTGTACTGTAAGAAATGAAGTTTGTTGTCGTATTCACACAGTTGAGCTATGCGTTAACAGCTGACCCTGACACACTACATTTCCCGCCCGATCTCTACGATAGATATTTCATTGTCCCTGTGGGCAATGTTTTCAATAGTACAGTGTATGTTTGTTTGTGAACTAGTAATCAGTTGGTTTACTTGGAGAGAGCGAACAGATGTTTTCAGAGACATATATTTAATTCAGACAAACCACTCGATGTAAGAAAACAAGTAAACGAAGGTTATGACAAATACATATATAACGAGAGCTCAGATGATAAAATCTGTTATAATTTATAATATTATGAAGCGTAACACATTATGTAGCCTGAAAAGTTGACGTAGGTGGCGCAGATGGGTTCGCAGCAGTACAAGGCGCCACCTACGCCAATTTATCAGGCTAAACATTATGATGTGTCCATAGCAATGCTGAGCCTCACTGTCCTAAGTGCTAACAATTTGGTATAGTAATGTCTATTTCTAAAATTGATGAGGGGCGCAGAGTTATGAAGCCCCCTATCTTTGTTCAAGTTGTTAAGTAATACACACGTTTTATGTGAAAATACATCCCTCCAATCTTACATTTACAGGCAACAAACTAATTGCGCATGCGCACGTGACAATAATTACAATGTATGTCTCTGTAGTTCAGCCGATGAATGTCACATTTTCATAACTATTGGTAGGAAATACCGGCATCACTCGATAAGATTATTTTACATGCACGATTATGTAGCTGTAACCTTTTTTTTATTATTTCAATCAGACGTGTGGGACATTTCCCAGCAAATTTCATGTAATAATCCCTGTGTGGATATTTTCTTTATGCCCCAAAGTATCTAACTGCCAATATTTTTTTCAAACAATACACAAACTCGGATATTCCGACTTGTTTGTAGCATGAACTCTAAAATGCTCGGTTTATATGCTACTAAACACCGTGACGTTATGACTGTTTTTTTTTAATTATTACTGATAGCTTCGTATATAGTATGTAGAGGCATTTACTTTACATTTACTCACAAGTCTGGTATTAACTACCACAAGTTTATCAACATTTACATAAAATATAACGTTCGACTTATCCAGCTTGCAATTATGCTTGAAAACCATGAACTGTATTTAGTTTATTTAGATAAACCCAAGGCGGTATGTTTTAGCCGATTACATTGTATTCAGTAACATATTTATTTGATGAATACTCTAGTACATACATTAAGACATTTTTTTTCTGAAACGTGAAAAGTTGAACTTGAATTTATTTTTTATAGCTCCATGTCGAGATGTCGATCTTTGAGAAGAGAATATTGCGCAAAATGGTCACTATCTACTAAAATTCAGCCATCAGTCTCTCGATGATGACCACTACTCTTTTAAGTCAATGTCCGGGAGTACAACTTGTTGCAAACTAAATGGATTCTGGGTATTTGCAATTTTTTGCTTCTACCTTAAAATGGGCATCATTCAGATTGAAACCGTGACGGTCACGTTTTCATATACCATCCACTTCTCGTTTACAAAACTGTGTGTTCCATTACTTAAGAGTCTGATGTGTTACTCAGGGGGGCAAGGTGGGGGGGGGGCAATTGACGCTGCAGATTGGGCCTTGTCTACACACGCTCAGGGGGGGGGAATGGTAGAAGAGGACGCCGTCCAATTTGTATGGAATGTTTCGAAGTCGGTCGTCTGTAGGCCATCACCGTCGAAGCAACAACCCACACTATTAGAATCAGTAAATGTATAGCCATGTTGGCATCGGAACGCATTTTGGCACAGTTTTACTAAAAATACGATTTTTTTTCAGCCAATTGTATCATACAAACACCCGGTGTTACTCGTGTCATGGACTACCTTTCAACGGTGTCTATAGGCTGTATCAATTAGAGGCCACGTGGTGGCGCTCTTTAATTTTGCACTGTGGTACCACAAAAAATGAATAATTATGTATGGTTTAGCTACCACTTTGTCTGTGTTAACATTTCTCGTTTGTTCGGTGAGTTTTTGATGAAAAGGTAAGAGCTGGGTCAGATATAGTTTGCATGCCAGCAACATTCAACTAACACTGATTGCGATTCAACTTAAATACACACTTCTTATTTCAGTGAAGAAAATTGTACTATTCATTTCAGTTTTGGCAAACAAACTGTTCAGTATAATATTGCGAAAATGAAAGACAAGCAACCCAAACGAGAAAAATGCACTCATCGCACAATTTTTGAAAATCTCAGATTTGATTAGATAAGATATATGATCACAATATAATTGGTGATTATTATATACTAGTAATATGCATAAGACGGAATATATGAGATTTCAACAGTTTATTTAAACTATTTTCTTTTATAAAAAAAATACATAACACGAAATAAATCTTTCAATTGTAAGAATTTCATGAAAAAATGTGTTTTATGAAATGAACATTTTTCATGTGCATGATTGGAAGAATAGAAAACGCAAAATAATTACGCAATATGTCGGCGGGAGATTTAGTTTTGTTCTATGTTTTCGACGTGTAATCTTTATAATGGTTGAGGTACGTTTGAAGAGAACTGGTTGTTGTAATTGCCAGGTGGGCTATATTCACAGGCAAGCCAAACTCTGTTGCCATCGTCGACAGCGCCACAGCCAAGCGTCTTGCTATCTGCCCACACAACCTGGGTGAAGTGACCTACGGGAAAGAACGAGTGAGAATGAGGATGATTTTGGACACTTGTCAAGCTCGACTTTTTTTTTGCTTTAGCTGTTTAACCAGGAAGGCATGGGACACGAAATATGAACAACTACCTACATTCGGCCCATGGAAATAATTTTGAAATACTTTTGAATTCAGAAAATATCAACGTGTTTGTTTGCCCCAAACATTGTCGTCATAATCTTTGTTTTCCAATTTCAATTATCACGGCAAAATAAAATTGCAATGATATCAATTGCGACACTACTTTAGCATCGTAGATTTGACTTTTAGTCCCAGAGTGTTAACTTGAATAACTTACCGGTAGCGGAAGAGAATCCGGGATTACCGTAATTGTAAAATTCTATTTCGTCGTACCACATCTTGACGAATCCATAACCTGAATAAAAACAAAACAATATATAATTCGTATAGAAATTATTGCAAACGGCGGATTCCATGTATACATTACCTAAAATTTCATTGACATTGGACTTACATTATTAATTACATTCAGTAACTATGTAACCGGATGTCGAATTTAACTTTGTTTACTAAGTTATTCTGTCTAAAATTACTACCATGATGTAAGTCGTCACTCTACCATGTTACTAGAGAGAGCTACTCGTGACTGAACTATCCAAAAAATATAATATATGTATGATGTGTTTGAGAGCAAATAATAGTAAGCATAAAATTGTTGCTAAACTTTGGACCTACTACATCTTGTAAGTTTATGCCATAAATAAGCTGATGTTTCTCCTACCTGTTGCGTAACTCATATTTTCCAGTCCAGACATAGCGAGATTTTCACCATATCCGTAACTGCTGTGTTTAAGCATTCCCCTGTCTGCGTTGTCCTGTGCCACGAGTTGACCCGTCTGTGCCAGTGAACTGTCCCAGGTGAGCGGCTCCACTCCGTGCAAGCAACGGAAATAGTTATGCGCTTCGAGCAGTTGGTCTTCGAAATCTTTGGTTCCACTGTTACCCATTTGCTTTGGTACCGTACAACCATTGCTGTCAGTTTCACCGTATCCTGTGAATAATTAAGTTTTAGTTAGTATGTCAGATGTCATTTATGGTTACTGAATATAAAATGCTACATGTAGTGCGACTACGTATACCGAACTAAAGATCTGGAATTTCCCATCCAGTTATGCATGCATGTCAACCGCCATATTATTTGTAATTGGGTTCAACTTGAAGTTTGAATACTGTTTTATTGTTGGGATGTAGATTGTAGTAAAAGAAACGCTCTTCCCATAGCGGGTAAAACATAATAGCGTCATATCACATACGGGTTCTCGAGCACATGAGTGCACATGGTTATATTGCTATAACTGTACAGAATATACTCAGTAATACAAATAACTATTTAAGCAACCCCTGTAACGTGAACGAAGACTTACCACATCCAACTTCGTCACTGTAATCCAGACAGTAGATGAGACCATCGCAAAGTTGATTTTCTTTTAGACACAAACTTTTATCTGCACATGTATATGGGCTATTCGGATACCATTTGCCGCAACCGTTTTTGTCTTCATAAGCTTCAGGTTCTACAAGTGAAGTGTGGAATTATGTTATTATAGTTGGCACATACAAAACGAAATACGAACTGAACAACTTTCTGCCTTGTTCATATCAGTGTGATGGTGTCGATGTTGTGTTTCGTTATTTTAAGCTGTATATTTTGAGACATTGAAGTGATGTTCAACTTGGGAAAATAAAGTTAATTTGTTTTTTTATTTCCTCTTTAATTGGAACAATTGATTAGCTAATTTCATTTTTTTCTTTAATAAATATTTGTTTTTTTCTCAATTCGAAGCGTTCATCTCTTAGCATATTTTCAACGTCGTTATTTTACCTGAATTACTGCTACCACCACCGTTTCCACCGTTATTGCCTCCATTGTTTCCACCGTTTCCACCACCATTTCCACCACCGTTACCACCGTTATTGCCACCATTGTTTCCACCGTTATTGCCACCATTGTTACCACCATTATTGTTTCCGGCATTGCATCCAATCTCATCGCTACCGTCACCACAGAGAGTGTGTCCGTCGCACACATTACGCTCCGGTATGCAAAAACTTCCGTCACTACATCTATACGTGCTGTCTGGAAACCAACTAGCACAATTGTCGTCGTACGAAGCAGCCCCTACGGTATTGCCTAGAAATATGAAATATGAGGATTATTAAATACATATTTATCTTCTTAATCATCAACGCATAAATGATGAATACGAAATGAGTAAACAATTGTTGCTTTTTCAAAAATTAAATTAAAATCTCACAGGATTTTGACTGGGAGAATAATAGGTTAGCGTTCACTACGAAATCTCGCATATCGCGTGAAAAGCACAGAACAAACGTTTGCCGCCAAAATCAAATGATTTGTTTTTCTTTGTAACATCAAATGTGTATAACACGTTATTGGGCGTGAAAATTCACACAAAATATTTGTTTGCGTTTATTTGTCCAGGTTTTACGTTCGCTTTCAAGCATATTGCGGGATCTCGTAATGAACATAAAATGGTCTATTGTTTAGTAAGAATCATTACAAACAAATACTAAAACGATGATAACTTCCTTACCGTTGTTATCGCCATTATCTCCACCACTACTACCACAGTCTATTTCGTCACTTCCGTCTCCGCAAAGTTTATGACCGTCACACAAGTTGAATTCGGAGATGCAATAAGTTCCGTCAGCGCATATGTACGTGCTTTGAGGAAAGAATTGCGCACACATGCTACTGTACTCAGCCGATATTCCTCTTTTCACTATAACATGATTAAAAAAAATGTTATATTGATTGCTTGTGATTGAAAACATCAATTAGACAAGAACATTGTTGGTCTATGACGAGAACAGATCTTTTTCGTAACGAGTTTACTGAATACTTGCACTGAGCACATACCTGTTGACTTTAAACCATGCTTTAATTCCAGTGCCTCTAGGAACATGTTCTTTCTTGCAAAATATTCACTGGGCAAGCGATTACGAGTCTGTAAAAATACACACAGCGGCAATTCTTGTTAGATGTCATTATGATACACACAATACAATATATAAAAGTATATTTTCAGTTCGGATGTCCTGTGGATATAGGCGTTATCTCACGTACTAGTCAATGTCGCCTATCGAGCCATTACGTCACAGAAATGCTTCTACACTTTAGAGGGCGACACTTAGCGGTAGGGTCTATCGGATGCAAATTCTAGCAATTCAAGTAGAAATCGATGATAATAGTGCAAATGTTTAATTCTTTAAGGAAATATAATTTTAGCTGAAATGAAATCTTGGCTACCACCATCTGGCTTGGTGACGTGTTCACTGAGTAGCTTTAAACCAAGTTCGTGGGACTATGTTTAACGAACATCATTCATATTGTGTTTATTCTACTATGTGTTGATATTTACGCTGTGGTTGGCAAACGCAAATCGACACCGCATGCATTAATTCATGTTTGTCTCGGGGTGCCCTTGACTTTAATGCCAAATAAAAGGTCAACAAAGTGGGTCTATTAGACTTAACCCAGCCGACATTGAACTGACCATGTGTTTGCATTTTGGGAGTGAAATTAAAAAAAACAAAAACTAGTCAAATAGTACTGTTCAAGTTGGCTGATGTTATTGATTACAGAATGAATTTTAACAAAGAAACTTGACTTTGAATGCATTTAACGGCCAAAAACAACAAAATATGTTTACATGATGCGTGGTACTCGTTCATTCGGACACGAATTCATTTCAACTACGAAGTCCATCTATGGAAAGACTGTGTTGAACTTTCCCCTGTGCAACCCCGCCCAATATTACTGGAACTGAAACAACATTGTAATTGAATGACAGACCATCCAGTCAGAACTGCGATAGTAATAGCCATGAACGAATTTGCTGAACTTACTTAGTCGTATTATGCGTGTGTACATCGCATTACCCGTGATGTATTCTCCGAATGATGCGATGGGAGATAGCATGAACACATTATTGTCCAGCGAGTAAATGTGAGTAAGAGCGTCAACCGGGCCGTATTCTGTAGCTTATCCCGGAACTCAGTAGAATTGATCCCACACAATGTGCACGAGTTAGTTACAGAATATAACACTAGTGTCGTATAAATCTACATTTATTCACGTCAGTGTGACACGTTTCAGAATCCTCCAACGTTCAATCATTTTACACTCGTCGCCAGGTAAATCGCAATGGTCCAATCAAATGGTGTTGTCTATTATCATGCTAATTATTATCATCGGTCGTGAAATGTATTTCTCGATTGACAGCTTATAGTGTCACGTTCATAACTTATAATTTTCACGAACAGTTGCGTTCCAAGCCCAGATTAATGAGAACGGACGCACGTGTAGGCAGAGCGACAGGAGACGTTGAAGCTTTATAACTATTTTAAGTGCTTTTGCTTGAATTATATATAGCAGATATTACTACACTAGTTTACTACCATTTTTGTACTGAAAGTTGCATGCGTCTAAGTTTTTGCAAATTTCACGAAATATGAGATACGTAATGTTATCCATATAACTCTGCAATACTGGTATGCATTCTAGGATTTCTGCTAATGAAATACTGTAAAACATGTTTAAATAGCGACATGACATTTTAGCGAATTTGAATCCACGCATGGATTAACTGAATCTAAATTTAGCTAAAGTGCCAACAATCTCATTGTGAAAATGTACTTTATTTTATATTAGCGACATCTTGAATTAGCGAAATTACAGATTAGCTAAATTAGCTAAAATAACATGCTAGCTAAAAAGACATGTTTTACAGTAGATTGTACTTGTAAAAACGGTAGCAATGTGTCCGACTGTGAGATATGTGGTGAGGCTAATATGTTTAAAGTATTTATCGCCATTTATCCAACAAACTTATGTATTTGCTATTTTTTACGTACATCGAATATATGTTGCCATGAAAATAACACGCGAAGTAATGGCCGACCAGATGATATCAGAATGATGAAATTTATGCTTGTGTCATGAATTTGTTTTTGCGTATTTGTTGACCGACTTAATTAGCTGATTATTAGCGAATTGCTGTGTTATGTCTGTCATCGTTTAGGCCTATTTGAAGTTTTGGACGGAACATGGCTCAGTGATTTGGAACTAATTACGAGATAACCGTCGCTATTCTGACTACGATTTCTGACAGTTAGTATCCGTAGTTATTAATGTAGTGAACGATTAATAATAAGATATGACGTATTCAGTACTTAGTGTGATTGGCTTTATGATTGAAGGTTACGCCCTAGAGTCTTTTTACTGTTTTGTAATTGGTTAGAGTTTTGAAAATGAATAAAAGAGGGTTTGAGTTGGTCTTGGAGAGTACAGTAGAACAGACGCAGTCCTGGAAAGTCGTGGGGCGAATCTTGACATAGTCTTGGGCTAGTCTTGGGTCAGCCTTGCGATAGTCTTGGAGATTTTTTCCCCAGGGCGCTGTGTCTTATAGAGTGCTCGACTGATCGACTAAGACGAGAGTTGAAACGTATTTCGTTGTGTGTGTCTTATTTGACTGTAAAGCTTAAGTGACTTCCCCGATCCCGTACCTCAAGGGGACGCGATAGAGAGACGAGACGAGTTTCCCCCCTGACACGTGTGGAGAACCCCGAAGAGAAGAATTTACCCCTGATACTTGTTTTATCTAGCCCCACAGTTTAAACATGTTAGCGGACAGTCGCATGTTGAATGAAATAAACCACGAAATGGAATGGAAAGAGTTTGGTCACGGTGTTGGGAATTGGTCTTCGCCATACATGTGACAAGTGACCAGGTGTTACTTACCGGTTCAAAACTTGTCTTCCTCGGCACATACGTCGCCGAGCACACAGCCATGAATACGAAGACGATGATAAGCCGCATATTTGTATGTCGCAGTTTTGCTCGGTTTGCCTGTCTGACTTTGGTGCCTGAATGTACTTGTGATTACATGGGGTTTATATATACACCAGTTTCGGAGTCCCGGGGTCCACGCACCTATTTTGGTGTTAAAGTTTTCATTCAACTAAAGCATTGTGGGAAAATGCTACATGTATAAATTTGTCAACGAGCGTCTAGGGCATGGTAGATTAATACGATTCGTATTTTTGAATAACGACAAATCGTATGGTAAAAAATTAAAAACTGTATAATTTTAATAATTATCGTAGTTGTCCAGGGTTTTGATGTAGGTAGGTCGTGTTTTTATAATAATGTTTACAATAGTATTATACATAGTTTGTTGTGTTCCACTACGCTTGTAGATTTGTGAGATTAATTATATACATAATTAGCCATTCCCGGTGGGTTCTCTTGCCACTGAATAGTATAGAAAGGCAAACTTAAAGCCAATTGTACGTCAGACAGTAATCCGGGAAATATCCTGAGCCTGAATTGGAATTTGGAATAACAAAGCAGCAGGGTGCCAATTGTGAAAGTGCCAGGCACTTTCATTTGTAATACTCGGGGCTTCTGTAATCAGATGAGGACAAAGACACAATTGGCAATTCCGAGTCGTCCTGAATAGTTTATTAATGTGAATTGATTAATGTTGCTCGAACGATTCTCATGAAAACTTGATTTAGGTGTTTTGACTAATTCCATGTAAGATTTCTTCCGCTGCGGCGACGGATTAGTCGAACACGGCAGTTCCGGGACTTGTCTACACGTAGCTGCCAAACACTAAATGCTGTACATTTGTTTTCAATGTTACACAAAAGTTAAAATATTAATGAGCTATAACCATATACTGATCAGTGAAGAGTGCTTTCAGGATGCGTATTTCCATTACCCACACATTACCCAAGTTCAAAGCTCCTAATTACAAATCATTTAAAACTATGTCAAAATATCAAACGGATTTCGACGGTTTTATAACACACTAATACATACATTTTGCCTTAATTTGTTGACTAAAATCAGACTAAAATAGTATAAATACTATAAAATTGTCCCCTTTAATAATTACTCGTGCGTTACAACAAGAACTGTATATTTATCTTCGTGTACTGATAACTCGTTCCAGCAGTTACTGGTATCTTATGTACATATTAGTACGGTCTGTGGTTTTCAATTATCTACTTTAATCTACCCACTGGCTGCTGACCCGATATATAATAAACCGCACATGAAAACAGTCATATCCTAGCTTGCGTGAGTACGGTAACATTTACAACACATATAAAAAGCGATTACAAGTTATATAATCTTGTCAGGTTGCTTGATAATTCGAATTACAAATTATTGCGTAAATGAAAAACAACATATTCCAGCAATATAAACAGTACATACAGTACTATGAGGTTATTACGAGGATACCTCAAATTATGCACGAAGTCAGTACAGCAGTATCGACCAACGCGCAGCGTAGATCGATGCGACGACGTACTGCCTGAGTGCATACTTTGAGGTATGCTCGTAATAACTTTATTATTATACATCTTTCCTTCCAAGAATACATAATGGGAATGCCGAAATCATAAAATTTTAGAACAGAATCGGCGAACTTATTTGTGTGGAGTCTGGTCAAACCCTGGTGGCAGCTATGTTTGTTTTTATTATTAGAGGACGCTTCCGCACATAATCATTTCATATTTGGAATTCGCATTTCCTTATATGGTAGGATAAAAATACCCCGTAAAATGCCGCAAAATTATGGCACGCTGTAAGTTATGGCGTTAAGACGACAGATATATTAATAATAGTATATAATAGATGAAAACAAAGTATTTCGTGTTTGTCGTATGAATGCGATTGATAAGTTCTACAACGTTTACATGGTCGACAGGTACGTGCTTTTTACAATGCGTGACCGAAAAGTCCGGGCCGGAAATGCTGGCCGAAATTACATTCTACATTATTGCTTTCAATGCCCCGCCCCTAAAGAAGAAGTCAAAATAGTAATGACATTCCTCCGTACAGCGCCAATAGATCTCGGGTGATTGCACACAAAATGGTTAGGTATATGCTTCTCGTATAATAACAAGAATTTTAGTTTGTGTCTGCACTTGCACTCAGTCTCTTGTTTATTTTTCGGTATTTTTTTCAATAAAATAAAATATCACGGGGAATATGTAAATGGCAAAAGTCGAGTTCAAGTTATTTCGCGGTAACCAGACTTTCGCCATTTACACACTTCCATATAGTATTTTATTGAACAAAAACAGCAAAAAATAAACAAGCGACTATAGGTAGGTCTACTTGTTTCACACAAATCAGATTAAAATAACTCTTTTTTTAATGCGCACTACAAATGGGAAATTGTATATGAGAGCAAATGAGTGCATTTTTTGGCGGGAACTTTTCCAGTAATATTCCTCCCCCTCAGTCTAGTATATCTAGAACGCCTTTTAGATCTATTCCATCATAATACTGTTTGCAACAAGGTCTTGTTACGTCGGTGATTACATCGGTGTATATGAATGTACCAGTTCTATTCACAATGACATGTTAATGACGTTTTACGGAGTGTCAATAAACGAGGGCGAAGAAGATATTTAAATGATAATGCGAAGGACCGTGAGAACATTTTCCACTATACATGCCACTGTTAGCGTCTCTGCATATTGGGTGACACCTTTTGTCTCCGTTGTTATTGTTTATATAACTCCGGACCCCGTCCGCTGGGTGAGAATGTTCTATCCCACGCCCGCCTCACTACACAGTACATCTGACAAAACTATCCATTCACACCCTGTGTCCGATTTGTCCATGCTTATCAGTGAAATAGAGGACAGAACAGTGAGACGATGCAGTAATTTACATCTTAAACCGATAGTCAGAGACAAACAATTCCTTGTAGTAAATGTATTTTATTCATAAAGTGCATTTCAAATCAAGCAATGGTATCAACTTACGTCACTGCTCTAAGATTTGTGCCGGACACTATAAAGCGCTCCAAGCATGACGTAAATGTACACCGGCACCGGTTAAAAAAATACGATGACGGGAACTTTAGAGGAATGTAAGAAATAAATCACGCATATATAATCATATTTTATCTCGAAACATTGTGTTTTATCCGATGTTCTAATGATGGTTATCAGTATCTCCGAAAAAAAGAACTTTTTTTTCCCGCCAGTAAGATCTTGTCATTTGATAATGGGCAGTGTCGTGTAAAGGCGACTATCGTTCAATAATGTTGTGGTAATTGGTCATCCAACTCCCTGACAGCATTGTTCTTTCGAGATTCTTTACCGAATCTTTTAGTTTCCTCTCCGAAAACTAATACAATGTATTAAATGTGTTAGTTGTCTGAAGCATGCGCTGTTTACCGGGCGTCCAACCAATATGTAGTGTGTTTTATTCAGAAAGGGTCCCCATCCTTTCTGAATTGTCCCACAATCCACCAAAGTAAAGAGCAGCACTGCAGATGTTGACCACAGTAGCTTTAAAAAGTGAAATTGTTGAAAATTCACGAGGTCTGTGGACGAGTGCAGGGGCGGGATTATTATAACACAGAAGATAACCTCGATATACGGTGCCTGTTATTAAATATAGTCAATAACTGAGAGAAATGTGAGAATTCGAAAGTTTGTTTAACGTTAAGAGCACTTTGACATGCCATGCCAATAGAAATCCATCCGAACCCCAGCCCTAAGATGTTCTTCAATAGCTGTTTGCTTTAGTGTCTTAAAAGTTGATGATCGGCTTTCTGTAGTTGTGCCATCACGAATAATGTGCTGTTACAGCCTAATGCATATCTATAATAATTACTACCGTGAAACTTTCCAGTGTTTGCACACAACATTTTACAAAACTAATTTAAATGTAAGATTTTAAAATGTATCCTTTCTAACTTGTTATGCATTGCGAAATTAAATATATATATATATTTACAGTTTTAATACAATTACGTTTACCGTCGTTTCGGCATGTAGTTTTCAGGTGATTACATGATCGTACCAGTTCCGATTTCAACAAAACGTGAACTTCAATCATTTTACTCACGATATAAACGTAACCACATGCACGTGGAAAACAGAGGAGGCGGAACGGTATTTTGCATGAGGGGCGAGATCTGAAATCTAGACCTTCTGAAACGCCATTTCCTGCATCTTGAGGGGAAAATTTTGCTGACACAAAAGGTTTAAGCTTGATTGGAGGGGGGGGGTCGACGAAAGTCGAAGAAAGCATCGTCCGATTGAATGAACACGGCATGCCATGCTATTGAAAGGGTGAAAGTTCATCGTCAACTAATACGGATGCCATGAATAACATATTGCAAGGATTCACGTTTTTGATTGTACAGTCCAAGCTCACCAGAAGAAAAGAGTGTTTAGTCTTTTGAATGTCTATCATAGGCATAATAAGTCACTGTTTGTAAACGGTGTCGTTACACTTTAGTTTTAGGGGACATGTACTCTTAGGCTATTTCAGGTGTTTTCAGCAACACAGTCAAGTTAGAAGATTAAAAGAACAAGTTATGTTCAGACTTAGAATTATGAAACCTAATGGAATGAATAAATAGTTTACTTCATTTCTGATAATTACCATTTGATGCACTATTTTACAAAGGTTTCTCACTCTGTTTCATATCTATCACCGAGTAAAAACACTTTGTCCGAAACGTCTGGTTATATTGGATAATTTCTACTACCACTATTATTATCATCCGTTTTTTTCTTTCTTTTTTCTTTTTCTTGCTTCCGTAACTTATTTCGTCAAGCCGTCTGGAAAAAAAAACGCTGAACAGAATGGTCTGAAACTCACCATACTGATAGTCTCTAATGTGAACTGGTGCACCTGACTTTAAGAATGTGATTGGTTAATTGGTTCGGCAGCCATATTGGATTGAAATTAAACCGGAACATTCTGAGGGTCGAGACGATCAAATTTGTTATGGCATATAGAACAACTCATTTGTAATAGATATCAGCAATACACATTTTAGCGATCACGTGACTTTTCCCGCAATGTTTTTTTCT